CATCATCACATCCCAGTACAAATCCTTCTGAGAAGAATCCAGATATTCCCACTCCTCCTGAGAGAAGCTGATGACCACATCCCTGAATGTCACCAATTCCTGAAACAACAAACCCATATATTATGGGTAAAATTGATGGAAATATGTTTTGACAAAAAGAAGAAATAACAACTGCATCACAGAAAAGGAACTAGATAGTAAACAAGTAGGCCAGGAGTAGAAGCATATGAGATGGGAAGTAAGAAAATTAGTGTTTACAAACCAGTGTATCTACATGTCTTTAAAGAACCTAGTTTATTCAGAGAAATATTCCTGCATACTACGAGATTTCCTAATTATCCAAACACGTCTATAAAATAATCAGTTTACAAACAAAAAGAAAGTGTACCCATGCACATTGTATGCTATGTGCCTGCCCCATGAATTATCAATAAAGGTGAGTTTTGACATTCTTTCCATTGTACAGGAAAAACACTATCATCGAAAATAGGGTAGGCACAAAATTTAAAAATTTCTTGAAGCCCCAAGTTTATCATTATGTCAAGTACCATTATTTCAGATTATATTATAAGAATTATTCCTTCTAATGCCAAATTATTTAGTAAATGCTTTTTAGTGGCCACAGAATAGAGGGTTAGCAAATAAGAGGAAAAGCTTCAATGAGAAGGACTGACACAATGGCTGCAACAATGGGCTCAAGCATAACAACAATTGTGAGGATGGCACAGGACTGGGTGGTTTTTCGTTCTGTTGTACACAGGGTTGCTATGAGTCAGAATTGACTTGATGGCACCTAACAACAACAGAATAGACTACTTGGTGAAAATACATCAACCTATATTCATGGTTAGATGTTTATATTGGAAAAGATCTTCCCTGGTTTTGTGACTCTACAATCATCTACTATTTATGCATGACTGAGGCCAGTCAACACCAAATCCAAATTACCTGTAAACTCAGGTCTGTGAAGAAGTTCAGAGTTTTCCCATGTGTTGCCAAATGAATCCATTTGCTCTTTTTCTCTATCGAAGAATTTGACAAAATATGGTAAAATGCCTCCATCTGGGGATTTCATTTCTACTCTAAAACTGATCTTGACAAAAGTCTGAGCACATGGCAATGTTGAACATTATCTGGAGAATAGGCAAGAACACAGGAGGGATACTGTGCTGTTTGGCTCCAGCCATCATTAGAAAGTGAAAAATGGGATGTGGAGTAAGCTATTTATTAGGACTGATTGGTAGGAAGTTTCAGAAAAATGAAATGTTCAAAAAGTGTGAATGATATTATTCAGGAAATAGAGAAACAACTTACATGGTCTACAGGTAAAACTGTAAAGAGTTGGTCAGTGAGTTCCACTTCTGGCATGACAGTGTGAGGTGCTCCGCAGACCTGCTGTCCAGCAAAACTGGTAGGAAATTATTTTTAAAAACATTCAAAGTCTCTGGAAACAGCCCAATGGGCATACAGCAAATAAAGAAACACTTATGAAAGAAAATTTACAAAAATTTGGTAAGAACTGAGAGAGTCCATGGTATTTGAACCAAGATCTGTGCTCTCCTTCCCCACTCCCACCTTAGCAAGACAGACATCTACTTTAAACTGGTCATTTCAAGAACACAGGTCTCTCTTTCCAGCTCCCAGTTGGAAGGCTATCTTCTAAGGAGAGACAGAAAGTTAGCATTTCTCACCCTACCCCCAGCTATCTGTTACTGAGGATAAGTTCCAGTAAGTGTGCCAAGAGGTGGGGGCTTCCTTTTCCCACCCAGCCCTTATTCGTGGACATGGCACTGCTGAGCATACTGGGGACCCGACAGTCCTTGCCTCAGCTTGTAATTTTAAGTACAGCATTTACTGTGGGTCTGTGAGTCATCCCAGCAAGTTATCAAACCCAAAGGAGTTGTGGGAGCCAACAGGTCAGAAGTTAGGGAGCCCAAGGGGACGCCTAAGCTTGTGGCTGGCACCTACTTATTTGGCAGTCTGAAGGATGGTGTCCTTTTAACTTGTGAGATCTGAGGGTCAGAGAAAGAAGTGCTGCATGTTGTAGCTGGTGTCACAGAAATGAAAAGTAGAGATCTGATTTATGTTGATTATTATCCTAATAGTCACTAAATGGGTAAACAAGCAAATAACAATAACAAACTCTGGAGATGGGGACCAGTACCCTGAGTTGCTACAACATATTACCTAAAACGTCCAGCTTCCTATGACAACAAAAATTATGAGATATGCAAAGAAAAAAGAAAACATGACCCATACACCAGAAAAAATGCAGGAAAGCAGAACAGAACTGTCTGTAAGAGCAAACAGATGTCATATTTAATAGACAAAGACTTCAGAGAATCCATTATAAATACAGTCAAAGAACTAAAGGAAACCATGATTAAGGAAAAGTATGACAACAGTGTTACATCAAACGAATAACACTAATAAAGAAAAGTTATAAAAAAGAACTTAGTGAAAATTCTGGAGTTGAAAAGGACTATAAAATAAATTCACTGGATGGCTTCAGCAGATTTGAACCGGCAGAGGAAAATATTAGTGAATTTGAAGACAGATTGATAGAAATTATGCAATCTGAAGGACAGAGCGAAAAAATGAACAGAGCCTCACAGAAATGAGGGACACAACTAAGCACCCACACATATG